GTTATCCAGAAAAAGCCACCGAAACCGATAAGAGAACCCTTAGAAGGTTGGCAGCTGGATATGTCCTTGACAGAGAGGTTTTATACAAGAAAAGCCATAACCAAGTTCTGTTAAGGTGCGTCGATGCTGAAGAGGCAAAAATGATAGTGGAAGAAGTACATGATGGGGTTTGTGGAGCACATGCAAATGGGCCTATGATGTCAAGACAAATAATGAGATGCGGATATTTTTGGTCCACACTGGAAAGTGATTGCATCAACTATGCTAGGAGATGTCATAAATGTCAGATTTATGGAGACAAGATAAATGTTCCACCCCATCCGCTTCATGTAATGACGTCACCATGGCCTTTCTCTGTGTGGGGCATGGACGTCATCGGGCAAATCCATCCGAAGGCTTCGAATGGTCACCGTTTCATTCTCGTAGCAATTGATTATTTCACGAAATGGGTAGAGGCCGCGTCATACGCCAGTGTCACTCAATCCACTATTTGCAAGTTTCTGAAGAAAGAAATTATATGTCGGTATGGTCTACCTGAAAGGATTATCACCGATAACGCAACAAACTTGAACAACAAGATGATGTGTGCTGCTTGCGAACAGTTCAACATAAAACATCACAATTCCACTGCTTACAGACCAAAGATGAACGGAGCAGTAGAAGCAGCAAACAAAAATATTAAGAAGATAGTGGAGAAAACAACTGAAACCTACAAAGACTGGCATGAGAAGTTGCCTTTTGCTTTGTTCGCTTATCGAACCTCGGTCGAAGCAAAAGGCTTGTGAAGAAGTGCTACCCATTGAAGTCGAGATTTCGTCTCTCAGGGTCTTGTCAGAAGTCAAACTAGATGATGCAGAGTGGGCACAATCCAGATATGATCAGCTTAATCTGATAGATGAAAAAAGACTGAAAGCCATTCATCATGGTCAAATCTATCAGAAACGAATGATCAGAGCACACGACAAAAAGGTGCGCCCGAGAATATTCCGTGAAGGGGATCTAGTGCTAAAAAGAATTTGGCCAGTCCAGAAAGATTTCCGAGGAAAATGGACGCCAAATTGGGAAGGTCCTTATGTCGTGAAGAAGGCTTTCTCCGGAGGAGCCCTTATCCTGGCTGAAATGGACGGACCTGAGCTGCCACATCCCATTAACTCGGACGCAGTCAAGAAATACTTCGCTTAGGATGAAACCCGAGAGGGCGTCCTAAGTTGAAAAAAAAAAAAAAAAACGTTTAGGGTGAAAACCCGAAAGGGCGCCCTAAATTGAAAAAAGAAAAAAGGAAAAAGAAGAGAAAATAAGGTGGGTTCAAGATGAAAACTCGCAAAGGGCGTCTTGCAACTAAGGATGGGTCCAAGTTGAAAACCCGGAAAGGGCAATTTGGATTTCAACGGTGGAAACATCCCGGCACATGAATCTTCTACGAACCCAACAAATCGGAGAAATGTCGCACCCTCCCAAACGTTGTCGCATTTTCAAAGATCCTTTGGCAAAGGCTGCACTCAAAGTCACCAAACGGCTTTTCAACTCAGAAGTGCCCACGTTATCGAGATCTAAGACATTCATTTACACATCATTGTGTATTCGTTTTCTAGAATGTTTGCCATGTATTATTTGTTCTTCTCCTCCCTTATGAATAAAGACCATCTTTCCTCCAATACCTTTTGAGCATCTTGAATTAGATTTAAACCTAATGGTTTATTTATTTTTATGAAAGATAATCGCATATTGCTGTACAAAGATTCATTGAAAAGTACAGGTACCCAGAAGTCGATCAAGGCTCATGCACATGCTTGAGATGGTTGAGGAGCATCTTCAAAAAAAAAAAAAAAAAAATCATCAAACGTTTGAAGAATTTAAGATCAGAGATCGGAACTTCAAGCTCAAGAGTCAACAACGACAGGCCACCGGAGATCGAGATTACTCTCCAGAGCTCAGAATAACATATGTTGCATATGCATTTTAGGCATACCTAAGAGCATGACATCCATAACATCACATATATGCATATCTTTGCAGGTTTTACCCAGAGCCAATTTCAACTTCACAACGAAGGATATTGGACTCCAGACAACGCAAGTTCAACTTCACGACGAAGGGACCGCTGGTTGTCAACAAATATTTCTCAATTTCAGAGCCAATTTCACAACGAAGGATATTGGACTCCAGACAACGCAAGTTCAACTTCACGACGAAGGGACCGCTGGTTGTCAACAAATATTTCTCAATTTCAGAGCCAATTTCAACTTCACAACGAAGGATATTGGATTCCAGACAACGTAAGTTCAACTTCACGACGAAGGGACCGCTGGTTGTCAACGAACATTTCTCAATTTCAGAACCAATTTCAACTTCACAACGAAGGATATTGGACTCCAGACAACGTAAGTTCAACTTCACGACGAAGGGACCGCTGGTTGTCAACGAACATTTCTCAATTTCAGAGCCAATTTCAACTTCACAACGAAGGATATTGGACTCCAGGCAACGTAAGTTCAACTTCACGACGAAGGGACCGCTGGTTGTCAACAAACATTTCTCAATTTCAGAGCCAATTTCAACTTCACAACGAAGAATATTGGACTCCAGACAACGCAAGTTCAACTTCACGACGAAGGGACCGCTGGTTGTCAACGAACATTTCTCAATTTCAGAGCCAATTTCAACTTCACAACGAAGGGTATTGGACTCGAAACAACACAATTTGGCTCGAGAGTAGATTTCAACTCCACGACGGAGGATATCTAACTCGAAGCCAAACTTCACAACGAATGACTCATACTCAGAATCTTCCAGTTTTGACTCAACCTCACGACAAGGGAATCATTTCATGATCGAATTTCAACTCTATGACAAAGAATAGTTGATGTGGACGAAATTTGTGTCTTTTAATCTTTGCTCTATTGTCGTTACACGAGAATGAGCAAAGAGGGGCAGCTGAAGACACTCAATTTCGTCTGATGCCTATTAATATTATTAGATAATATTACAAGTTATATGATTATATGTATAGTGTTATTAATCTTATTATTTCAATCTTATACAGGTCCAAATGTTCCAACAGTCTACTATGGCCCAAACCCATACACGTAACCCAGTTGGAGTTAGGGTTTCCAGAAACCCTAGCAGCTTCCCTCCTTAGCGCCGCAATCCTTGCCTCACGAGTCCTCGCCACCCACGCTTCCCTCAGCCGATCTTCTCGGCGCCATGAAATCCTCAACCTCATCAACATCACGCGTGAAGCAAGAACAAATCATAAGAGAAGACAACAAGCATTAGGATTCTAGTGAAGATAGGATTCTAAATATAGTTTTCTCTTTATACTATAAATAAACATGTAAGTCTCACGAGAGAGGGGTCAGATTACGGGGAGACACAAAAAAATACTGGAAATTACACAGTACCGAAAGGGCAGTTCAAGGGTGCTAGCCCTTCCTTGACTGTAACCGACTCCCGAATCCGACACATCTCTGGTAAGACGCAGATCAGGTAAGAAATAGGGTATCCGATCAACCCATTTATTTTTAAATAAATGATCGGTGGCGACTCCAATCCATTTTCCTAAGTCGAAGCCCAATTCCGGGGCCCAACCGAAAGGCGGTTGCGACAGCGGCCAAAATATACTTTTTCCATTATCTTAACCATAAACATTAGAATACAAAAGGACTAAAGTTGAAAAAAAGCCAATTTAGGGGGCCACGTCCCATGCTATCCCCTAGATTGGCCTCTATTTTTAGCCTTTTTAAAATTTAAAATTTTAAGCTTAAGTAAACAGTGGTTATGAAAATATATTATGTGAGATTCTGTTTTAAAATTTTATATCATGCATAATTATAAATTTAAACTCTCTAATCTAAACATTTTAAACCTCTTGAATAATAATTTTATTATTTGAGTTAAGATTGAAATTTTAATTTTTTTTATAAAAAAAATATACTGATTAAAATTAACTAATTTAGAGTATAATGATTGAATTCACATTTTACGTATAGTACAGGGAATAAATACAGAATTTAACGAAGTTAAATATATAAAAATATGCGAAAAAATTTCAAACTTAAATTTGTTAGTCAAAAGTCAAATTCTAATGAGATTTTGCCACCTCCTGGTGGGGCCCAGCCATAGCTGTTATAGATACTACGTGGCACCTTCTCGATCGCTCTCTTTTATATATTTTACACGCCAACCGAGTACTATTTCATTTATAATCAAAATTTATAAAATTTATTTTAAATTAACTGATTACTAAATTACATATTAATAATTATATAAAAATATATCGCGCACGAGGAAAATAAAATAAACTGTAAATGAAAAGCGAAAATAATAATAAAAATGTCATAACATTGTCGTTAAATTTTAACAGCAAAAAAATGACATTTTTATAAAAATATTTAGATCGATGACTAAAATAGAAGTAATAAATTATTGACTATTAGTGCAATTAACCCTTAAATTATTAAAAGATGTTATCATTGTGAAATTGAACTTACTATAAGAGTTGCCAACGGTTCAAGTAATTATTTGGGAATGAAACCAAGCATATTCCATATATGAAGTGCTGAGAGAAAAATACATTTTTAAAGTAACAATCACAAGAAATTTGTATAACTCGACTAGAATTAAATATTATAATATAAAATAGACGAACTGATAATTAAAATATATCCGAATTTTCGAACCTATATTTAAATAAATATGAACATAACTTGCACATAATTAATGATGGATAAAGGGAGGGGCAATAGGGAACAAGAGCTAGTGGAAACATAAAGAGAAAATTATTGGAACGGTTGTCCAAGGCAAATGGGGTTGCAATCATCATAAATGGCTAAGCTTCCACCTAATCACCAACCAACCAACAATATATGAATTTCTTATTATAAAGTATTAGTAACATATGGTGGAAATGATTCATCCATCATAAGGTTATACGGGCATGGATGCATGTCCATAATGCACATGGGCATAACATGTAATGTCTTCTTCCAAACAGATTCACGTGATATCAAGATGCATGCATGCCCTTATATAGAATAAGCCTTTTAGCAAGTCTAACAACACTTTAATTAATGCCTACTTTGTCACAATAGAAATCAAGATAATTAAGAGGAATTTCTCATCCGAGAAACAACTCGAAATACCGTCTTTGCCGCAATGAAACCGCGTTCGATTTCTTATTTAAAGATCATCTAAGAGCGTTCATCTTGTTCCTGAGATAGTAAAGCTTAGCCCTTCTCACTTTCTTCTTGTCCAACACCTTTATCTCCTTTATATTTGGGGAATACCTGTCATCCATTGTCACTCGATCTTGTTAAAGTAGTATGTTCAAGATATAAGCAATCACAAGTTGTGTTTGAGCACCTATATCCGATATAAATATGTGGATATGATCCTCTAAGGATTCTCTAAATACATGAGAAAACATGAAATAAATTGAACCCATGTCCGGTACATACTGTTACTTGACACTCACACTTGAGTCCGAATAACATGAGATTAGAAGAACTAGAAAACGCTTTCAGACTTCTTTCCATAGAAAATTACTTGTGAATCGTTTCAAATAGAAAGAAAGTGAAAGGCATTAGGATTTAGGATCTTATGAGAAATCACAAAAAATCACCTAGAAATCTTGGGTATCAATTGTCATAAACAAGCCTATTAGTAAGTTGATCCACGAGATTAAAGGGATAGAGGGCATTTTATTCAGAAATAAACCAGAAAAGACTCTCATGACTGAACCCATATCTCTGAATCGGAGGATGAAGTTAAAATTAAAATATTGATAAGGGGAGCTGGTTTCTAGTTTAGATCAAAAGCTTCGTGCATGTCTTATGTTTATTGCAGAAGCTCTTAAAATCGATAGAGTTGAACAACAAAAAATCCTATACCGAAACTGGCTTTACCGAAAAGGTTGTTGGGAATGTTAGATCAGACAAGCGTGCTTAAAACAACAATGAGAATGCAACTTGAGAAAATTGGATGTCAGCAAAAACTACAAGAAAACTTTATTCTTAACGCTTCACAATACATCTTTAATAGCGGAGATGCTCTTGAAAACACAACGAAACAGACACTTTTTACAGTGAGTTATACATTCTTTTATCATATCTTTAATAACATACATACTAAACTATTAGTCCAAAGAAATGTTAATTATTGGAGAAACCTTTGTTTCGGAGCAGATCTAATCGACACAATAAATATTTCTTAATGCTAAGTATTTCGTTAATATAGTCAACCTTAATATTATAACACAACCAGTGACACAACTTCTCGGTATTTTACCTACGGGTAATCTGGTAAAACAATAGCATGCTTTCTTTCTAAGTTGATAAATCAAATCTTAAATAACATACTTTTTGAGGGAAGAGCATAAGCTTGAATGTTACTTACAATGGGAAGAGAGATTCAACCCCAACTCCGGCTACCATTCTCCGTATCCGGAATGTAGTATTCAGGCCAGCATTCCGTCTCGCGATAACAATGCCTTTTATTGTTGAAAGGCGCCGCTTGTTTTCAGGTACTTCCTGCACCCACCAACAGCACATCAGTTACCTTGACCCGCTCAAAAATATGTTAACAATCACATGTAGAAATAACACCTCAAATGTTGTAAGTCGTAACATTTCATACCACTTTGAGTTGCACAATGTAGCCAGGTTTTATCTCAGGTACATCCCTTTGCCTCTTCACTTCCTCCACTGCTTCCTTGTCCACAATCTGCAAACATGTAATTCACACAATTCAAAACCAGAAAGAATTAACTCAGTGGATTCACATATGCATCCTCATTGCGACCATCAGGTCTTTGATTCGAATAAAAACCGGAAAACAACATTACAAAGGGAAAAAGGAGCATTCCTGCATTATGTGCTTGGCAGTTTTATCAAGTCTCTTAAATTTAATTCGAGTCGGCACATCAGGGAAAGGCTCGGAAGAATGCATATTCGGAAAGGCAGCTGTTGTCATATATATGCTTGAAGATGAAGACATCATTGCAGCCAATGGAGACAAAACTGGAACTGAACAAACGCCATTTGCTTGGGATACGAATGTTGTCTGCTAAAAAAAAATTGCAAGTTTGAAAAGACAAGTTTACCTCAAAATTAGACTTACAAAAACATGAGAAACAACGTGAATTGGAAAATTTCAACCTAGTAACATTCTAACATGCATATTGTACTTTTTAAAAAATAGAAATAAAATTGACATTTTGAAGCAAGAAAATTACTTAAGCAACAAAACCCTGAAAAATTAAAGCAAAGAAAAAGAACCCATACTCCTAGAAACTGCAGGAGGTGATTATTGGGAGATTTTATTGAGTTGTTGGTTCCTTGGACTGCATTGCTGCTACTTTGAGAAGGCAGATAAGCTTTTGCTGAGGATTTGAATTGAGCACGGTTCCATCTGGGAAAACCTTGTCGTTGACCCAAACGGATACTCCCACCAATGAACGACTGCATTCTAGCTCCTCACACCCCGTTTGGTTGATGAGAAAACTCGAGGAAGTGATGGGGAAAAAAAAAACGAAATTCCGGCAGGCCAACAAGCCCTCTGCTCAAAACCCTACCAGAGCGAACAGAGGTTAGTAATCAGACTGTGTTATGACAAATATACCCCTAATTTGGTATAGAATTTGCTGGATTGGACCTGTTGTTAGTCCAAGTACTTTCACTATACTAGCATGCTCAGCCCAGCCCATTACTTTTTTCTAACTCAAACATAAAAAAGGGTTACTAAATGTTTAGGGTGTTTGTATTTTAATCATTAAATTTTTAAAACTTGTAATATAATCATTTCATTTTTAATTCACTATTATTATAGTCACTACTGTCAGTTGCGGTTAGAAAAAGATGGTGCAGCACATTATCTTCTTCCTCTCTTATCTTTTTCTTCCATGGTTGAACATTTCTCTCTAATGTCTGATTTTGAGCCTATGGTTAACTCCTCATCATCGTTCTCGAGTTAACTCACGACGAGTTTCATGAATTAATTCCTAACATAACTCAGTTCCATACTCGTAAAACTTTGACAATACCGAAAATGAACTTTAGAAATATTAAAACCACAACGACCATTAAAAGACTATCAAAACATGATTTAGCACACGTTACAATATTTCACGAAGAACACATGCAGTATATGTCAAAGATTTATTAGCACAAGCACAAACAGATTGAAGAGTAGCAACACACTTATCTAACCATTGTCTTCAATCATTCAATGGGTGTGTTTTTATTAGGTTATATTTAAACACTTGAAAAGTTACTGTGAGATTTAATAATTCAAATCTCACATTGATACGATATTAAATTTTTAAATATATGTATGTTGAATGATTGAAGATGATTGCTATATAACGTAGATTGTTACCAATATGGGATTTTGTGTTTTTTCCTTTTGGATAATCTTTTTTCTTATTTTCTTTTCATTTTGATCATCGAAAAAATCGTGTATAGCTCAAAACCTTAAAAATATAATTCTTCAATTGCATCCTTTTAGAATCCTTCCACAGCAATAAAATTGTGTATGTAAAAATACGTATACTTATTTGTACCTTTCCTGAATTTTAGTAAAAAAAAAACAATAAATAATTAGAAATAAGTGTTATTCTAATACTTAATTTTAAAAAATTGTATTTACAGATTAAAAAAACCTTTAACTATGGTTAAATTCTCATCTAAGTTGTTATTATTAGCATTATTATTAAATTGGTTAAATTCTCAATCTCAATAAACTAATTGGAGTATACTCTGACGTGTTGTTATAGCCCACGTACGGAACTATTGATGATAACAGGCTTAAGAAACGTATTATTGATCCAAAAATTGGTCAGAGTTACGTTTATTTTAATGTATTAGTTTATAGTTTTTTTTAAGGTAAAGTATACAAATGGTTTCTTCAATTATAGGATATTATTTTATTAAGTCATCTAATTATTAAAAGTTATGAAATAATCTCTTAATTATAAGACATTGTTTTGTGGAGTTCCTCGACTATTAAAAGTAATAAAATGGTCACTCGACTATTTATATGTTTCAAACTCACCATTTCTCCATTAAAAATGATTAGCATCTAAGCTGGAAATTAACATGATGACTTGAATATCATAAAACCATATTTTAATGATGTCTACTAGTATCGTTGTTGCTTTCAAGAACTGGCTCGACGAAACATAATGTTTTAAGCATTGGCTCTACGGCATAATGTAAACAGAGACTTGATTCATAAAACACAACTAAAATAGTTATGAGATCGGATTTTATCATATCCCATTGAGCAGGTTAAAGTTTAGCTCAGACGACCATCAAAAATTACGAGTTTGAAACACATGAATATTCAAATGATTATTTTGTAACTTTTAATAGTCGATGGACTCAACAAAACAATGCTTATAGTCAAAGATCATTTTGTAACTCTTAATAGTCGGATGACTAAACAAAATAATGTCCTATAATCGGGATGTCATTTGTGTACTTTACCCATTTTTTTTAAAAAAAATATATATATTTAAAGAAGATATTTAAATATAAAATTGGTTCATGTTGTAACCATGAGGCCAACTTGGTGAATGTCAACTCTTTGCTTGCAAAATCTCCTCACCTTTTGAAATTTGCTTCTTTTTAAGACTTTCGTTAACATTAGAGGACAAACCATAAGATTCATAATTTTGATCACCTAATTATTATATAATATATAAATACATATTAAACACGAAAAAATATAATAAAATATAAATTAACAAATATTGTACATAGAGAGAAATATATTGTACTTTAAGCAGAGAATTCAGATTCAGATTTTGAAAATGGTATCATCAGATAAAATTAATGATTCTAAATACAAATGGTAAAACAAATATAAATAATTAAATCGAATAGATTTAAAATAAACCCTTCGAACCCCAGCTCCTTATCATGTTAAAAGGCCAACTTGGTGAAGGTCAACAACAATGAATCTCCTCAGCTTATCAAAATTGTTTATGTTTAGACTTATTCAAAAATTATATATCATAAAGACAATTTGATAAAATTTGATTAAAATAATCTTACACTCTTATCAAATAAACGAGATATATCAGTTAGTGTTATATTCTGAAAATATTAATCTTAGATATATTTCTAAAATCATCGAACATAAAATTATCGCACCAACATGAATGAAAATAAACATTTTTAAAGTTTAGGTTCAAAATTTAAAAGATAGATTTAATTCTTAAAAAATAATATTAAATAACATGAATTTTTATTATAAATTATAAAACACAAAATAAAGATATTAGTAAATGAGAACTTTAAACCCCCACCTCTCTACCATGTTAAAGGGCCATTATTTTGAATAAAATATTCATGGAAAGAGTGAGAATCTCTCTTCAATTTCTTAAGTAGGCAGGCTAAGCACATACATTTTGACTTTTTTTTTTTTCTGAGAGTGTTTTCTATATAAGTGTCTTGAATCTCAACTTTGTTCATCATCATCATCATCAAGGATTTTCATTGAGGAATAAAATCTCTCAAAAAGTCTCCAAGCTTTTGGATAGCTTCTTCAATGGCGGTTCGGGTTCTTGTTTTGGCTTCAGTTCTTATATTCTCTTGTTTTGCAGAGATCGGCCATGGCGCGGTTTCTTTCTCCTCCCTTCAAAGAACACTTGTGGTCACCGCCTCTCATAGACAAGGACGTAAGTCATCCTCTAAACATCCTTCTTTCTCCATCCATTACACTCCGTGTTGATCGAGGGAGTGATCATCGCTGAAAATTTCCAATTCTTGTACAGTTTAGATTTTTTTTTAACATTTTATGTTTGATAATACGTTTTCGTTCCCTACAATTTTATAGATTTTTTTTAACATTTTATGTTTGATAATACATTTTCGTTCCCTACAATTTTATAATTTCATCTCCTATATTAAAATCTTGATTTCATTACCTTATTGATAAAAAAATCATGCAGTTTTGATGTCTGTGGAAGACAAAATCACGGTGACATGGGGACTGAACCAGAGTTTCCCGGCCGGCACCGACACGAGCTACAGGACCGTCAAGGTCCAGCTGTGCTACGCACCTATCAGCCAAGTCGACCGTGCATGGAGGAAAACCGAGGACCATCTTTCCAAAGACAAGACTTGCCAGTTCAAGATCGTCGAAAAGCCTTACGTCAACGCCAACGAAACCCTTGAATGGACCATCGAACGAGACACCCCGACGGCGACGTACTTTGTCCGAGCCTACGCTTTGGACGAGAACAACCATGAGGTAGCATATGGTCAAAACACCAATGCCGAGAAAAAAACGAATCTGTTCGACGTCCAAGCGATAACCGGCCGTCATGTTTCGCTCGACATCGCATCCATTTGCTTCAGTGCTTTCTCCATTGTGTCGTTGATGGGCTTCTTCTACGCTGAGAAGAGAAAGGGAAGGAAGGCTGAGCAGTAGATTAAAGGTTTAAGAACCCTAATTAAACCTTTCAAATGGCTTTGATTTGAATGCTTTTATGGTGTAGGTTTAATATTAATTATCTTTCGAAGCGTGTTGTGTTTTATTAATGTTACAAAGTGTACTAAGAAGCTGAAGAAATCATAGTAGGGAGATAAGGGTTGTACTTGAAGAAATTATGTTTTATATATATCACGAAACAATGAAGATTAGAAATTATGGTGTAGGGTTGTACTTAAATATTATCGAGAACCTGCAAATATTTGAAAATATATATCGATGCAATTTGTAAACTTTCGTATAAACCCCACAACTTAAGCTATAAAATATCAATGACTCTACGCTTCTATAAAATCTAAGCAACAAACAAACTATCAAGATCTCGGATGAGCCCCCTAACAATATCGATACCAGGAGTTGATGTAACAACACCACTAATATTAAAGAAACCCTATCCTGGTGACACCCTTTGTCACATAATATCGTTTTATATGTTCTCAATTTTTCAAATCTAAATCAAATTAAATTGACTAAATATGCCTACTTAATTGAAGTTTAAATTATTTAATTTTATACTTGAGTTGAATTTGGAAAAAAAAATATTTGAATCGAGCTCGACTAGGGAAAAATTGATCTTATGTATAACATCTATGGAAAAACTAGGGGCAAAAATGAAAAATCAATTTTATGGGGTCTCGACATTAAAAATATAATTTTATCATCATAATAATTTCATGTATTTTAAATCCTTGAGGTTAAAATAATGATGGTGATAAACTAATAATTACAATAGTTGGATACTAATACAATTTTTTCTTTGTATTGAACTTGTTAAAAGTCCAGGGAGATTAATTTAATGATAACGTGATCAGGTTAGCTGTTACAACTTGATTGACTTTAATATTATATACAACTCAATATGTTAATTCATATTTTCTTGGCGATGTAAGTTGTTATAAAATGGCTAAAATAATACTATACACCCTTGCCTCTTCCCTCACACATATGTCTTTAAAGAAAGGATTAATATAAAAATAAATGTTTAAACTGAGTAAATACATTTTGCTCGAACTTATGGGCTTAATATACATTGTGGGCTCAGACTTTTTCGAGCTGCAGTATTTTTAGACATGAAAATTTTCAAATTCAATTTTTTTCGAGTTCGAATTGTGTCATAGTCGTAAAGAGACCTACTTTATCTCAAGCCACTCTAAGAATGGGAAAGATGCATTCTGATATTAAGAAAAAAAATCTAACAGTATGATTTCTTCCCTGTAGGATAATAAATCAAGATAAGATCCATTTAACTTCTCGTAAAGACCCATCACTCAGCTGAACACTAATTATATTTTAAGCAACTTTCTATCACTGAAAAACTTTGTTATGAACCTCTGGTTCACCCATATGCCTCTATCCAGACCAACTCTGCTTGCATTAGATGAAAACCCGGATGCAGTTCGTCGACTGACTCGGTCTATCACACCGACTTCCCATTACCGTGTGGACCGAGAACCTGGTATACAAGTTCCTCGGACAGTTCTTTCTTTGCCTGGAAAAGTAAGAATCAGAGAATTTGGATGAAATTACTTTCTATTGAAAAAGGAAAAAAGAAAAAGGCAAATGCTGACCTGAAAGTGTCTCATATGCAGTATGGCTCACATCCAACATCTGCAATAGGTTTTCCTCGTGGGGTTTGCAACTTGAATCGTTCGGTTTCATATGCTTTAAGGTTGTTTCTTTCATCAGGCAAATGGTGGCAAACGTGTAAGAGTGAGCTAAGAGAGTTCATCTGACAGGTAAAAGTTTAACCGCTTATGAGAAGCTTAACTTTGAGTAAACATTAACCTATTTCGTCGTTAGAACAAAACAAAATCCGAACCGATGTTTCACATCTATCTTCACAGATATGGAATAAAGTGATTTCTAGTTACTCTACATGTTCATAGTAGACTCTAGCAGTTTAAGAACATGATGCAAATAGGTTGCAGAACTACCTAATTTGGCTTGATTAAATCATTTTGAAAACATTATTTCAGAACTTGGACAATCTGATCTAAATGTTAGACATGATTAGATATTGCCAATTCAGATTCAACGAAATTCATTTTCTTACTGCTCTTTTCAATAACGGAACAAATTGCAAATCCAATAATAACCATACCACTTAACAACAAAACTGAGCCTATAGTTCAAGACAAGCATCATGCGGCCTAATTTTTTCCATTAGATGATAATCAGAGAATTAAAATTTTAAAGTAATGAGCTAACCTTCATGTATGGACAAGATGCGCAGCCACCGTGAATAGAGCATCCCTCCCCACTTGCAACTCCAGGTACAACAGGGACAGTAAAATCACCCATTTTAACAGGTGAAGCGCTTGTAGATGTTTTCGTCATCGAGTCTGACGAGACAGGGAAGACGATTTCAACATTGATTTGTGTTCTGGAAGTTGACTTTGAAGAATCTAACAAACTGCGAACTGCTGCAACAATCGAGGTCACCATTCCTGATTCTGTACCCAAGACAAATTGCAGCTGGTCATCAACATTTCTATCTAGTGCTTCCTGAACCCTTTGTTTTATGAAATCCAATATGTTTTGAGTGGAACCTACAACACCCATTCCTCTTCTCTTGGCTTCCATTGCCAAAGAGAACATTTCTCCAGGAACCTCAAAGTGTGCCGTTAGAAATGCATCGCAGTACATTTCGTTTATCTTCTCTACAACTTCATGTCCAAAAAGGTGATGAACTATACATGTTCCATCCTGATAGAGAAATGTCACAAAGGTAAGCCATAAAAGGCAAAATAGTTGTACCACAAAGCCGGCAAATGCAAGATGAAAAAAAATGGAAGATATAGAAAAACAGGTTTAGCCAAAGTGACAAACTAAGAAATATCTTCTAGGTCTATGTTTCTCAGACTCAGGTGTGATGTGAGCATTGGATAAGGGTATGTATGTATGAGTCCAACATAAATATGTTCAATTTTTCTAAGTTTTTCATGTACTTCGATGATCCTTGGAGAGTCATATCCGTATACAATGTTAGAATATGAGTTGGGCAGCATTGCAAAAAGGAAAAGGCTGAAGGATAGAACACTCTCTTTAAGTGCATTTCACTGAAATTTCTGTCACAATCATAGTTCTTCCATTTCGCATATATTATGATGAACCGTACTTGATAGACAATTGCCATATATTTGAAGGAAGAATTTATGGAAGGCAAGGAGATAGATCTTCCATGAAGTTCATGTTTGATTTCATTGGGAAAATATAGTGTTTCCATTCCACAAAGTCATAAGATGATAAATTCATAGAAGTGGAGAGATTGAAATGCTTTATTCATTTTCCGGTAATTCCTCAACTTACTATCCACTTAAGATATTTCAACAAACAAGTGAATGCCATTCCTTAAAATTCAGAGTAAATGTGATACATACAATCAGTAACAACCTAAATGCGAAAAAAACAGGTTTCTTTAGATGGATAAGACATAATTAAGAAAGTTGACACTCGAAGGTACCTCGTAATAGTGCAGGCGTGGCAGCAGTGATTTAATTGAGTCTGTGCTGTGTTTGGGGTGTATTTCAGCAATTTCCTCATCTGACATCAAAGTCATCTGCAAGAACAACTCTTTAATATTCGCGCCCATGTAGGAATCCGGCCCATACCATATGGTTAAGTCTGGAACTTGAGCAAAAGCCTGTGGAAAACGTGAGACGGGAACTAAAAAACAGATACCTCAAAAAAAAAACCCAAAGCATTGAATGAAAAAGGAGAAGAAAAAGAGAGAACAATGGAAATACAACATACCTGCAGAATGGTTTGCACAACATTTGAAGAAGTACAAGTGATTGTGGGCACAAGCTCATGAGCATAAGCTTTTGTTTCCAGCGACGTATTAATGTAAATAACATGCAACGAAGGACGCAAGTTAGAAGCTGAATCAAGATAGTTCATATAATCAGGAGTAGCAGCAGCGTCGGCCAAAGAACAACCAATGCGTTCACTTGACATCCTGTAAACACCAACCTGCAAACCAATTTATACAAATAAGCATATCATCCACATGCCACTTGCCAGAGAGAAAACAACAGTACCATAATTAAAACAAAAATTCATGCCTTACAATTCAGTGTATATCATTAAATTTTAGATAATACATCCTTAAATTGCATCCAAAACAGTAGAATAAACACAGCTGCAGACTTGAAAAAGCTATAGAATGACTCTTGTGTCTGGTCTATAAGCTTTTATAAAAATATTATGCATTTATACCTCATACATCAACATCATACATAATAGTATACATCATACATCCTAGTGCTTTATTCTATGTTACTCGGACTTGGAAAAGGGGCGTAGAGGGAAAAGATATACCTTTCCAAAGCCAGCTTGATCAAGAATTGCCCTTACATTTTCAGACATAAAATCAACACCCAAACAGTGATGAATTTACATCCAGATTTTGCCATCTTGACAGCTGAATCAGCCATTACCAATGAGTCAGATATATGAATGTGAGGCCACTCCTTTTGGGAAGCAGTTAGGATGCCTTGGACTTCAGGGTCCATATAAAAATGAGCCACCACACCAATTTTCTTCTCTTTCAACACTTTGACAAGTTCTTCCACCTTCAACTTGTCAGGGAACAAATACCTTGCCTGCAGATCAACTAGATTTCAAGCTTAGGATTTTAATACCACCATGAAAACAAGAAGGTTGCAAAAATTAGCAAAGAACTTACCTGAGCCTCGGCATAAGCTCCTTTTGGTTGGAAACCTTCAGCAGTGATCACCAACGATGGAAATGGCTCAAATGGAGCTTTCCCTTCCTTTTGAGCAACCAAGACCCTTGTTCGTTTCTGCATGCTAACTAAAACATTATGCCATGTGTTAACCCGAGACCTTTCGCCACCGGGAAGCCCGACGTTAAGCGCCGCCAAATCCTCCGTTTTCAAACTCAACACTTCCGCCGGCGCCGCCCCATCAAGAACCGAAACCAAACAAGCGCAAAACCCTTTTGTAATCTCGGAATCGCTGTCGGCCCAGAATCTGATATTCCCTTCGGAGTCCATCTGGGCATCGAGCCAAACTCGGGCCGTGCAACCCATGACCCGGTTCGAGTCAGTCCGGGAAGAATCCGGGAGAGAAGGGAGAAGGGAAGCATAGTGAAGGAGAAGCTTTACTCGGTCGATGGGATCTAAAAGGGACTGAAATTCTTCGATGAGGGCCGAGAGTTTACGCGGTGGGAGATGAGCGATCTGGGTCGGAGACAGTGTACCAGCAGAGCACGAAAACGAACTGGGATTTGAAGGAAGAGAACCGAGCTTAGGAGATTGAATGCATTTGAGGGACTTGAACAAAGAGTTTCGGTGGAATTTGGGCATTACATGGAAGAAGTTGAAAAGGTGTGATTTTGAGCTTGAATTATGGGTTTGAGAGACAGAAAAAAACGATGAACAACCCAAACTCGAAGAAGAAGCAGATTTAACGGGGATGGTAGCAGAGAAATCCATGGAAAGACAGATCTTCTCTAAGTGCTCGTAAAGGTAAAGGGATGGGGGGAAAGGTGTGGACGGCAATGGATAGAAATATGCAGAGCAGAGAAAGCAGAACCGTGTCTTAAATAAATAAACCGCCAAATTAACCTAAAACAAGCATGAAAATAGCATGCAAGTAGGCGCTTAGTGAACGAAAAGCATTTGCAGCCCTTCGGGAGTGGAAAATTCCAATGTGGCAAAAAATGGTAGAAACAACAAATGATTTTCATTTTCAGTTTTTTTTAAAAAAGTTAGAAAATATATTTGATTAATATAGATAAATACTTAAATTTAAAAATAAAAATAATTTTATAATACACTTTTTACTATTTTATGGCACGTTTTTGTCTATTTTTTGATATATTTCTGTCTTTTTTATTTGTTGTTTGGTCGATCTCATAGTTTATTTTTTTTAGGGTTTGATTTGAAACCGTTGTGAATAATCAAAATGACGCTTATTTGTTATCCTATTGATTTGTCATGTTTTAGATCATTAGATGAATTTTGATATGCAACTCGTGTTTGGAGATAATTTTCTCACAACGCTCGACTCTAATTTATAATTGTAGGTGGTCTTTTAATAGTTTAATCGTATGTTATGCTTCGTTTGCTGATGCAATCAGATCTATTAGCATCTTTACTTTGTTCGAGATTTTTGGATAGATTTTCTAACATTTTCTTTATATGGTCTTTATTTGATCTTAAGTTGCTAATTTTGTGTTCATGTTTACATAAAATATCCTAATTATGTATTTAATTTACGTTTTTAATTATAAACTTTCGTTGTAATTTTGAATTTTTAAATAAAATAATGTCAATGTATATTGGACATAAATTAAATTTAAAAAATAAATAATTTTTTTTGTTGTAAGCAAGAACATTCAAAAGTATCATTAAAATAAAATATATTATTAGTGATAATTGAGGCCCTCAAACTTTTGAGAAAAATTAGTGTAATTACTAAACGTTTTTTTCACTCAATGTGACTCATAAATTGAGAAGAAAAAAATCAAACCTTTTGACCAAAAGAATTAAATAGTTACCGCCACGACGCTTATATGACAATTCAAGAAGCTTACATGGTAATATGTAATATTGATATGCTAATTCACGGTATTGTTATGGTAGCACACTATGGACGATTATGTGATAAATGAATTTAATTGCATTTTTAATTAAGTTCGAGGACATAAATGATTTTTTAGAAAGTTTGAAGACTTAATTGATTTAAAAAAATATAAAATTATTTAACTTTAAAATATATAATATAAACAATTATTAAGACATTTAATACATTAAAATAAAAATACTATAAAATTAAATTATTAAAAATGTTTAGGGATCACATTGATTTTTTGTAAAAGTTTGAAGGTTTAGATACCATTAAATAAAAAAAATTGTTAAAAGTATTTGAACTCATGTGAGGTAAGTTAAACATCTTAATCTCATATTTTTTAATTTTCCAATTTTCTAAAATAATTTTAATGAAAACATCACAAATATATTTCTTATATTTTCATATTTTCATTTTTCAGAAATCATTCTTTAATTTTACAATCAAGCACGTTTTCTTCACAACTTTCTATTTTCTAAGAAAATGTAAATGAAAATAACATATATTTTCTAGAACTAATGGACCTTAATATTTTAGATTGGATGTATTTTTTGTAACATTTTTAGTAGCATTCTAAAATGTTATATTTTCGTAAATTTTCAATTGGTTTCTTCGTAACAATTTAAGTTATGTCCAACTTAAAATGTTATGTTTTTTTATAACATTTAAGGTTTAAAAAATTATATTAAAAATTTAAAATTATTAAAATATAAAAATATATAATTAAGTTATTAATAAATATAAATTATACAAAAATTTAAAATATTTTAGAATACCACTGTCCTTTAACACTTCTTTAAATATATGCCGTGTTGATTAAGGTTGGTTTCAAACATCTCATAAAGTTCATTTTTCTATAAATAAATATATCTATTAATTTATTGCTTGATTAATTTAAATAAAGTATTATAAATATTTATTATAAAAGTAATTATACTAATCTAACCTTATTTATTTATAACACTATAATTTAATTTTTTTATCTTATTCAAAATATTTATCATATTATCTTACTAAATGGATTTATAATTGATAAAATACTTAATATAAAAATAAATATCCAAATTATATTGTTTTTCTATAAAAGTGTCTAAATTTTTTTTTCGGTCAGTCTAGAGGCCTAACATTACCATTTTAGGTGCATGGTCTGTAACGGTCGTTAAATTATACCATTAAGTGACAGTGTCGCATTCAAGTAATTTTGATTTTTTTAAAAAAAAACTTAAGATTATATTTTTAAAAAACCCAAAACTTTTAAAAATCTTAAAAACCTCCCCAAACTTTGAAAACCCTAAATCTGATCCCTATACATAAGCATGTCATTGTCGTTACCGTCGATCGAACCTCCAATCGACCGTGCCTCCACCAGTGACCAGTTACTCAACAAGCAGTCACCATAATAGTAGCAGATGAACCCTAAATCACGATGAACAAAGTTACCACGATGAACGTAAATCGCAACTACAACCATCGCAACAACCATCGTGATTCCACAACAAGAATGATGTCGTCCGACTACGGAGATGGCAAGGACGACGTCAGTGGAAATGGCCTTGGCCGGAAAGGGATGTAAGGTTAGTGTTAGGGTTAGGGATTTGGGTTTTTTTTGTTGTTGTAATTTTTGAGAAATTAGGGTTTTTTTAGATATAATAATATTTTAAAGTTTTTTAAATAAACTCTTCAAATTTACTAGAGAATATGACATGTGACATTTAACAAAATCTTTTAACTGCCGTCACAGTTGAGGTACCTAAAGTGATAAAATTTATAACGTTATACATCTGAATTGACCGGAAAAGAAAATTTAGGCAGCACAATATGTAAAATGCAAGAAAAATATTTTGGGCTAAGCAAACATAAATTTTGTTTAAGTGATAGTTTAAATGATAAAATATTAGTATTTATATATCATTATCAAATAATATTCAAATGATTTTATTAAAATTTATATAAAAAAAAGATTTTTTGTTGCCCTTTCGATTTTCGGACTTCGTCCTGATTAATTCAGACAGACTTGCGTCTCACACCTTATTTTGTTTGGTGAGTCTCCCAACGGGGATTTTCTGCATACACAAAACCTCAAACTCGATACTTGCTTAACCGATATCAAGCTGTTTATCACTTGAACCAATCATATTGGTCTTTTCTTTTAAATTTATACTTAAATAAAATACTTGAATATTATTAACAAAAAATATTTAAATTATAAATTAAACATTATTTGATGATGATATTGGAAGATATATTAAACAAAAGTGGCAATTTCAATTTATAATAGTTATTGAATTATAATAATGATAAACTATACATTTAGTACCTAAACTATTAGTTTTAATCTATTTTAGTATCTAAACTTTCAATTTTTTTCAAAATCATACCTAAAGTTTAGTTTTTATTTCATTTTAGTACACCGTCGTTAAGTTTAAAAAAAATGAAAGTCTAGGTACCAAAACACGTTTAGTACCTGTATCATACTTAAGTTTTGAATTATTTTTTTTTTGAAAATTTAGGTACTAAACGGATTAAAACTGATAGTTTAGGTACTAAACACATTAAGTTTTTAACGACGGTGTATTAAAATGAAATAAAAAATAAACTTTAGGTATGGTTTTAAAAAAATTAAAAGTTTAGGTACTAAAACAGATCAAAACTGATAGTTTAGGTACTAAATATATAATTTGCCCTTTTATTAACATGAATGATTTAGTTTATATATAATAAAAATTAAATGAAGTTATTTAATTAAATTTAGACTTCTGATTAAAATTAAAATTAAATTAATGATTTAAAATACAAATCATCCATTCTTTTTATGGAAGCGATCCACGTATAAATTGCCAAAAAAAAGTGACAAAAGGCATGCCATTAGGCATTGACATCTAACGAAATCTTTCAATTAAATAAAATGATAATTAAAATATATCAAAACTTAAATCATAATAATTCTTTTGATTTAATATATATATTAAAATGAAACAAAAAGTAAACTTTAGATATGGTTTTAAAAAAATTAAAAGTTTAGGTACTAAAACAGATCAAAACTGATAGATTAGGTACTAAATATATAATTTGCCCTTATATTAATATGAATGATTTAGTTTATCAATAATAAAAATTAAATGACGTTATTTAATTAAATTCAGATTTATGATTAAAATTAAAATTAAATTAATGATTTAAAATATGAATCATCCATTCTTTTTATGGAAGCGATCCACGTATAAATTGCCAAAAAAAAGTGATAAAAGGCATGCCATTAGGCATTGACATCTAACGAAATCTTTCAATTAAATAGAATGATAATTAAAATATATCAAACTTAAATCATAATAATTCTTTTGATTTATATATATATATATATATATATATATATATATATATATATATATATATATATATATAGACACTCATTTTCGTCCGAATTATTTTTTGAAAATGATTTTTTAGTATTATATATAGTTTGAAATCATTTTTGGAAATTATATAATATATGGCTTTTAAAAATATTTTTAGAAAACTTATATAATATATGATTTTAAAAATATTTTGAAAAGTATATATAATATATAGTTTTTGAAAAACGTTTGAAAATATTATATATTTTTTGAAAAACATTTTAAAAATGTATATATTATATGGTTTTTGAAAAACATTTTGAAAATACTTATAATATATAGTTTTGAAATCATTTTGAAAACATAGTTTTAAAATATTTTCGAAAACTATATAATTTTGAAAACATTTTTAAAAAATATATAATATATAATTTTAAAATATTTTTTTGAAATATATATTATATAGTTTTTTGGAAAATATTTTTATTATAATAATAATAATATTATTAGTTATTTATTTATTTATTTATTTTATTTTATTTTATTATTTTTTGTTTTATTATC